GTATTTAGCTGATGTCCTGTCTTTAGCTGATGTCCTGTCTTTAGCTGATGTCCTGTATTTAGCTGATGTCCTGTCTTTAGCTGATGTCCTGTCTTTAGCTGATGTCCTGTCTTTAGATGATGTCCTGTCTTTAGCTGATGTCCTGTCTTTAGATGATGTCCTGTCTTTAGATGATGTCCTGTCTTTAGATGATGTCCTGTCTTTAGATGATGTCCTGTCTTTAGCTGATGTCCTGTCTTTAGCTGATGTCCTATCTTTAGATGATATTTTCTTTAGCTGATGTTCGGTCTTTAGCTGATGTCCTGTCTTTAGATGATATTTTCTTTAGCTGATGTTGTCTTTAGATGATGTCCTGTCTTTAGCTGATGTTCTGTATTTAACTGATGTCCTGTCTTTAGCTGCTGTTCTGTCTTTAGCTGTTGTCCTATCTTTAGCTGATGTTGTCTTTAGATGATGTCCTGTCTTTAGCTGATGTTGTCTTTAGATGATGTCCTGTCTTTAGCTGATGTTGTCTTTAGATGATGTCCTGTCTTTAGATGATGTCCTGTCTTTAGATGATGTTCTGTCTTTAGATGATGTTCTGTCTTTAGCTGATGTTCTGTCTTTAGATGATGTTCTGTCTTTAGCTGATGTTCTGTCTTTAGATGATGTTCTGTCTTTAGCTGATGTTCTGTCTTTAGCTGTTGTCCTATCTTTAGCTGATAAGCTAAAATCAGCCTGATCATCACAGATAAATCAGGTTTTGTCCTCGTCTCAGAACTTTACCTCCAGCGATGACTGAACTGATTCGGTTTTAGACACCCCAGTTTCAGGATCTATTCTGGGCCCTGATGAAACGAACCGGGCCGATCTGGGTCAGGGATTTTACCGGCACGTCCAGGATCGGGGTCGTTCAGTCCTTCTGTGCCCCCCCTCTCTGTGTGTGCCAGGTGGGTCACGCTGATAAAAGTGGGCAGTGCGCGCTGGTCCACGCGGCGCTGAAGGGCCACACAGAGATCATCAACATCCTGCTGGTCCAGGACTGGGGACCCGAGGTCCAGTCTGGTCCACCGCTGCACCACGAGACCGCCACCGGAAAAACACCGGCGGTTCAGCAGGCGGTCACGGCTGCAGCCAGCGTGGGACACGCACAGGTCAGAAACTGTTTCAGCTCATCGGGGCTGGAGGGAATGCATCATCAGCCGAAATGTTTACACTCTTCAAAATAATAAACTTTATTTAAACAAAAATCTTCAAACACACTAAAGACTCTGTTTCCCTTTAAACTCTGCTACAGCAAAAAGACATTTTCCTGTTAGCTAATGTTCTTCCACCTTAAGCTTTCAGTTATTTTTTATCTTTAGCTTTCAGCTTGTTTATCTACTATTAGCTTTTAGCTAATGTTCTTCTAACTTAAGCTTTCAGCTATTTTTTTAACTAAGCTTTTGTTTTGCAACTACTGGATTAGCTTTTAGTTAACATTCGGCTACCTTAAGCTTTTAGATTTATTTTCATCTTTAGATTTCAGCTTGTTTCTCTACTATTAGCTTTTAGCTAACATTCTGCCACCTTAAGCTTTTAGATTTATTTTTATCTTTAGATTTCAGCTTCTGTTTTTCTACTATTAGCTTTTAGCTAATGTTCTTCTAACTTAAGCTTTCAGCTATTGTTTTAACTAAGCTTTTGTTTTGCAACTACTGTATTAGCTTTTAGTTAACATTCGGCTACCTTAAGCTTTCAGCAAGTTTTAAACTTTTAGCTTTCCGACTGTCTTACTACCATTAGCTTTTAGCTGATATTCTTGCACCTTTTTTTTCAGTTAGTTTATTTATTTATTTATTTATTTGCTTTTTGGCATTAAGCTTTTGTTTGACACTTAACTTTTAGCTAAAATTTTGCTACTTTTAGCCACTGTTTTGCTAATTATACTTTTTTGCCATTGTTTTCATAATGTAGCTCGTCTAGCTATTAATAAGCAAATTTCAGCTACAGTTTAATAAATTAGAGATTTTAGTTTTGGTTTTCTAATTTTTTGATTTTAGCTACTAATCTTAATTTTTGTTTTTAGCTAAGGGTTTACTTATTTTAGTTGTGTTTTTGTAGTTTTAACTTTAATAAATTCATTCTGGTTTCTTCAACCTTTAGATTCTCGTCTGGATTTTTTTCATAATTTCTCTTATTTTTTAACAAGGCGACAGAAAACTGAAGCGGTTTTTGTATTTTTTCTTGCAGGTGGTGAAAAGCTTCCTGGAGCTGAAAGATGAGCAGCTGGCGGTGCAGATGGACGCTCACGACTCACTCTGGGGAGAAACGGGTGCTTTTCTTCTCTCCGTCACAGATTCTGTCTTTCTCACCTGGTTTTTGTCCGTCAGTCACGACGAAAAGACAAAACCCAGCTGGACCTGAACACGCTGACCCGRGACTTTTTTTTTGTTTTTGTTTTTGTTTACAAAACTCTGCTAAGATCAGATTATTTAATTCACTTGTTTTGAAACAAGAAAAATCGATTTTGTTCGGCTGTTTTTTAATTTAGCTACTTTTATCCCAGATGTGATAATGCAGCTGCTGTTGGGTCAGTTTTATGAAGCTTGTTTTTCTGCCTGCAGCAAAACGATAGCTAAAGATAAAATGAGCAAAACCTACATTAAAAACTAACATTAAAAAACTGTAGCTAAAAGATGAAAAAGAGCAAATCCATAGCTAAAACCACAGATTTGCAAAACATCAACTAAAAGCTAAAGTTTGCTAAACTATAGTTGAGTTAAAACTGTAAAATCATAAAAACAAAGAGAAGACATTAAAATTTGTAGATGAAAGCTAAAAATGACAACACTGTAGCAAAAACAAACAAAAAGAAAACAGCTAAAATTAGCAAGACCTAATCTAAAAGCTAACATTAGCCAAACTGTAGCTGAAAATTTAATTACACGACACTATAAAGCAAGAAATAGCAAAGCTGTAGCTAAATGATAAAAATATTTAGTGAAAATTAAATTAAACTGAGCTAAACCTGAGCCAAAGGCTAACATTAGCAAACTGGCTGAATGCTAAATATGGCAAAACTATAACTAAAGGCCACATTAAGCAAAACAGTAGCTCTAAGCTTAACTTTGCAAAACAGTAGCTAATAGTTTTGCCATTCATAGCTTGTAGCTAAAAATAGCTAAAACCTCTATCAAAACCTGAGCCAAAGCTGACATTAGCAAACTAGCTGAAAGCCATGAATAGAAAAACTTTGGCAAAATGCTACGCTATGTAAAACAGTAGCTCAAAGTTTAACATTGCAAAACATTAGCTCATAGTTTTGCCAAAGCTAAACGCTAAAGTTAGCAAAACTATAGCTGAAAATTGATTTAGACAACACTGTAGATTAAAGTAAAAAATAGCTGAACTGTAGCTAAACGGTAAAATCATTTAGTGAAAATGAGGTAAAACCTTAAATGAGCTAAATCTGAGAAAGACGCTAACTTTAACAAACTAGCTGAATGCTGAAAATAGCTCATTTTTAGCTAAAGGCTACTTTAAGCAAAACAGTAGCTCAAAACTTCATTTTGCATTACAGAAGCTAAAGTTAGCAAAAATATAGCTAAGCACAAGAGCTAAAAGATAAAATATGCAAAGCCAGAGATGAAAGCCTACAAAATAGCAAAACTGTAGCTAAAAGCTAAAAAATGAAAACRATGCATAATTTGTTAAATAAGCAACATTGTAGCTAAAACAAAAATCAGCCGAACAGCAGCTAAAAACTAAAATAAGCTTAAGAAACAGAATGAGTATTCTGAAGTAGATTTCAGAGAATTGTGTTTAAGATTTTTATATTTTTCTATGAAGTTTTACGAAGTTAAATATTTTAAAAATATAAAAAAAATCAAAGAAAACTGAACGGTCCTGGTCTGGTCCTGGTCTGGTCCTGGTCCTGGTCCTGGTCTGGTTTTTGATGGAGACAAATAAAACTTAATTTGCACATTTAAATTMAATTTAAACCATAAACATTTATTAAAATAACAAATATAAAAGTTAATAATGACACAGTTACGTCTCTGTTTGTCCCGCCTCCTGTCAGTGCTGACGGCGGCGGCAGGAAGAGGGAGGCTGGAGGTGTGCGCGCTCCTCCTGGAGCAGGGGGCGGGGCTTGAGGTCCCGAACCGCAGAGGGATGGTCCCGTTACTCAGCGCAGCCAAACACGGTCACACTCAGGTGAGCAGGTCTCTGGTTCTTTTTGTTTTATTCACCTGTTTGGAATCTGAAGCTCCTCCCCCTTTCTTTAAGGTCGTGGAGCTGCTTCTGAAGAAAGGAGCAGACATGAGCGGCACCGACAAACTGGGCCGCTCGGCGCTGATGCTGGCCGCCTCCGAGGGCCACAGCGGCACCACGGAGCTCCTGCTGGCCAACGGTGAGGGGCCCCCAGGCTCCTGAACAGCTGCTTCCTGTGCAGCGAGTAATATTTGTCTGTCTGTGGCCCCCAGGAGCCTCCATGTCCTCTGTGGACCAGGAGGGCCTGACGGCGCTCAGCTGGGCCTGCATGAAGGGCCAGAAGGGCGTGGTCCAGGTTCTGGTGGAGGCGGGGGCGGACCTTAACCAACAGGACCGACAGGGACGGGCCCCGCTGGACCTCGCTGCTCTGAACGGAGACGCAGATACGGTGGGTTTAAAAACTGCTGCGAGCGAGCACTTTTAGCTTTCAGCAATAGTTTTAGCTACATGCTAAAATTAAGCTACATTCAGCTACTTTTAGCCTTTAGCTACATTCTAGTTAGGAGATTTTTGCTTTTCGTTAGTTTCTCTGTTTATCTTTTATCAGCAACATTATTAGTTTTAGCTTTTTGCCACGCTTTACTAATTCAAGCTTTTAGCTAAAGTTTTGACAGTTGGAGCTTTTAGCATAGTTTTGTTACCTTTAGTTTTTATYTAAACTTTGCTAATTTGAACTTTTAGCTSATTTTGCCAGTTATATGAATCATTTTGAGAATAACAGCTTTGAGCTGATTTAGTTCATTTTAGCGTTTTGTTCAGGTTTTGACAATTTTAGCTTTTAGCGACGTTTTGCATTTTCATATTTTAGCTAAGTCTTTGTTGATTTTTGCTCTTATCTATAGTTTTGCTGATATTAGCTTTGATCAATAACCTTTTTAGTTTTAGGCTTTTGCCACATTTGATTAATTTTAGCTSTCAGCTATAAATTAGCCGATTTTTACATTTTTATTTTAGCTGAACTTTGCTCATTTGAACTTTTAGCTCATTTTSCCRATTTTAGTTTTGATGTTTAGTCAACTGAAGCTTTCAGCTGTGATTTTCCTAACTTTAGGTAAAGTTTTGACAGTTTTCACTCTTACCTGATTTTGCCAATATTAGCCTTTAGCTACTAGTTTTGCTYATCGTAGCTTTTAGATAAGGTTTTGACAGTTTTAGTCAATTAGCTTTTGGCTACATTTTGGCTAYTTTTATGCCCTTTTTGTCAATACAGTTTGGCCAAATGTAGCTTTTAGCTATATTTTGCTAATGTTAAGCTAACTTTTAGATGCTGTTTTGCTAATTTAAATTTTTAAGTAGAGTTTTTGGGTTTAAAATAATTAGTTATATTTAGCTTTTAGCTATAGTTTTGCTCATACTATAAGCCTTTATCTAATTTTTTTTTTTATCAATTTTAGCTACAGTTTTGCAAACTGTAGCTTTTGGCTATATTTTGCTAATGTTAAGCTAGATTTTAGATGCTGTTTTGCTCATTTAAATTTTTATGCAGTTTTTGATTATTAAATAATTAGTTATATTTAGCTTTTAGCTATAGTTTTGCTCATACTATAAGCCTTTATCTAATTTTTTTTTTTTAYCAATTTTAGCTACAGTTTTGCAAACTGTAGCTTTTGGCTATATTTTGCTAATGTTAAGCTAGATTTTAGATGCTGTTTTGCTCATTTAAATTTTTATGCAGTTTTTGATTATTAAATAATTAGTTATATTTAGCTTTTAGCAATGTTAGCTTTTAGCTATAGTTTTGCTCATAGTATAAGCATCGATCTAATGCTTTACCAATTTTAGCTACAGTTTTGCAAATTGTAGCTTTTGGTTACATTGTGCTGATGTTTAGCTAGCTACAGTTTGCCACATTTAGCTGCTAGTAAGCTAATTTTAGCTTTTTGGCAAGTTTTGACAGTTTTAGCTCTTCTCTATGGTTTTGCCAATGTTAGCTTTTAGCTATGTTAGGCATTCAACAGTTTTGTTTATATAAGCATTTAGCTAAGCTTCGCCTCTTTTAGCTTTGTTGTTTTGCTAATTCTAACTTTAATGTAGAATTTTGATCATTTCAATAATTACAGTTGCATTTAGCTAATTTTAGCTGTTTACTCTTGCTCATTTTAGCTTTCAGGGCTCAGTTTTGATGCTGTATAAATAATAATCAGTTAAAACCTGACACTTTAGCTGCTCTGGAGTGAATCTGTTGACAATCAGCCGAACGTGATTGTTGTTTCATATAATCGTCCTGTCAGGATATTTTTAGCCTCGTGAGGAGAATCATAATTAAATCATTTTCTCCTGTTTTAATCAAACTTCCTGCAGAGTCAGAAGAGCTTCAGACAAACGGACTCCCTGCGGATCACCAGGAGGACCGTCTCCTGATTAAAAACCCTCTTTGAGCTGAAGTTCAGCTCGYTGATGCGGCGCTGCGTGAAATCAGCCGAACGTGGACGAGCTTGCTGAAGTTTAACTGTGGAATTTGTTGTTAGGTGCACAACCTGGTGGAGCACGGGGCGGTGCTGGAGCGAGCAGAGAACAACGGAAGCAGGGGTTCGGACCGGGCGGCCGGCTGCCAGAACCCGGCTCTGGTGGCTTCGCTTCTCAAGAAAGGATCCAAACCCGGTAGGAGCGGCCCGGCTGCCGCCGATCGATGAGACGTCGGTTTGCTTCTCGCAGTTTTTATCTCTAACTCTCTCTCCTCTCTCCTTCGGCTTCATCGACCCAAAGGCTACAGAACGGCTCCGCACGACCGATCAGGTACCAGATTTATTTTAGCTACAGAGTAAAAGCGCCGAGGCGAGCTGAGTGACCAGATGAGCGTTTGCCCCACTCAGGTCACGCCACGTGGGCCATGGCGTCCTCCAAACCCGACATCCTCCTCATCCTGCTGCAGAAGCTGATGGAGGAAGGCAACATGCTCTACAAGGTATCTGCAGCACCGGGGCGGTTYTAAAGTCTGGATCAGAACTGAGCCGGCTCTGCTGTGTGTCTCTCAGAAAGGTCGTATGAAGGAGGCGGGCCAGCGGTACCAGTACGCTCTGAGGAAGCTCCCTCGGGAGGTCCAAGGAGAGGAGCTGAAGGGTCTCAGGGACCTGCGGGTCTCCCTGTACCTGAACCTGTCCCGCTGCCGCAGGAAAACCAACGTAAGGCTGAGCTGAACCAAAACACTCCAACAGTTCAGGGTTGTTAGATGGCAGGTGAGGTCCACGTTTCCCCAGATTTATTTAAAAATCTCCACAGATCAGAGAAATATGGATCCATTTTACATCTTTTTTATCCCGACTTCAAAACACAAATAATTCCCAAATCTAAAAAAAAAAAAAAAGTTTAAGGTCTACTTTTCCCTCTTTTTTTTCCACAACAGTCTGTAAAGATCCAGGACCTGACGACACCAGTTCTAGGTTCTGGTCTGTGCGGGTGTTCTAGTTCTTCAGTAGTTCTTGATCTTCTTTTCAAGGATTTTTCAGTTCAAGTTGCACCAAAAGTTTTTAGTAGATGAGACCAGTCCGGCACCTGGACTCTGGGGGYCACGTTGTTGTAATGGATGCAGTTTGTTATTTGACATTGTTTTGCTGAAATAAGCAAAGCCTTCTCTGGGGAAAAACATTCTAACGTTCTAAAATCTGTTGAACTTGTTTATAAAATTAAACATGTCAGGTGTTTTAAAAAAATAGCAACTTCAGTTTGTGGTTAGGTGTCATCTTGCTGAAATAAGCAAAACCTTCCATGAAAAAGACTCTGGATGAGAGCAGATGTTTTAATATCTGTAAAATTTGTCTCTAAAATAAATATCAAACGTTTAAGACATAGTACTGTTTTAAATAAATCAACTGCAGTTTGTGGCTAGGTGTTGTCTTGCTGAAAGAAGCAAAGCCTCCCCTGAAAAAGATATAGTCTGGCTTTAGCGCAGAGGTTCTAAAACTGTAGAGTTGGTTYCCAAAAATTTAAGCAGTTAAGCAACAACTGGGACAGCTGGAACGGGGGATCAAACTAGCAACCTACTGATTATGGAACGACTCCCCTAACCACTCAGCCACAGTCGCTTTAAAGTGTCTGTGACCTGCCTGTCCATCAAACACAAGTCAAAGAAAGATATAACTTTATATATATAAAAAAAACTTGGCATAATACACATGATTTTACCCATTTTGTCATATAACTGTCTTTATTTTGAACTTGGCTCAGCCAAGTGAAACAGGAAGTGACATCAAAGGGGAACTCTTTGAAAAAGAAAACTTCCTGGTCTTTGTTTAATGAAACTTTATTTGAACTCTGGTTCTTCTTCATGTCTCTGATAGTGACTCAAAATTATCTAAAGAAACATCAAATTATTCTCTACGGTCTGTGTTGTCGGCCATTTTAGCAACACTCTGTTCACATGCAGACATTCCCCTTTGACATCACTTCCTGTTTCTTCAAATGCAAATATCTCAACAACTGTTCATCTCAGCGGCAGGAAATTTCTTTTGTAATAAGTCAACGTTATCTTTCCAAAAACACATTCATATTTATTACAAAAAAATTGATGTTACAGGCTCTTTAAGCAGTTTCAGAACAGAACCAGACCTGTTTTTAATGCTGCAGCTCAGAGATTAATACAGATTATATTAGGAGATTTAAAGTCTTTCATTGAGGAGCGTTATTTTGAAGTTGTTCCACTATTTTTAGTCAGTTTTTCTCAGACTGCTGAATCTCTTCAGCTTTTAAGTCTCTTTTTGTACCCAGTCCTCCGACCGACCTGTTGATAATAAATTATCATTATTTAACTTCATTTACTAATGTAAATGAAGTTTTTTCAGAATGAAGGCTGTARAATAAAAAGTGTCGAGCCCGCAGCGAGTGGAAACATAATGTGTGTGTTGTTAGTGTGCAGATGGATGTGTGTGACCCACGGCCGGTTCTGGATCCCACCCTGGTGATGACAGACGTCCTAACAGACTGTTAAAAACGCCATTCCTTAGGGTCACTGCTGCCGATGAGAAATGGGGCAGATAATGTGAAGTGATAAGGTCACCCTCGCCACACGGGAGTTATTTACAGCCGACGACCGAGCGGGGCGCCTAAATCTGCGTTTTCCAGGAGAGCGCAGACACAAGCTGATCCCGCCGTGAAATATTTAGCAGCAAATGTTCAGGAACTCCCACCCAAGTAAAAATATTCATTAAATATTCACCTGAAAGCCACGAGGAGGTGAAACCTGCAGCGTTGTGTTCTTTCATTACAGACTTCAGTTTTTAGATCCATTTGATGAAGCTGAAATTACTGTTTTTTATTTAAAACGCTTTAAATTAAATCTGCAAAAGAATGGTTCAGTTGCATGCTTTTCGTTTTACAGAATAAACTATGGGATAAATCATGTGCCAACAGGAACTGAATTTGAATTTCTCAGATTGAATCTGAATGTGCATAATTTGAAATTGAATGCACT